TTAGAGCTTCACCGAATGATTTCAATTTTCATGAATCATTCGTCTAAGAATTTTATTTCCGAGTAACAATTCTTTCAGTATTTTCTGTAGTGGGGACGAGCAAGTTTTTTTTCTTTTCTCTTCTATTTTTAAGCCTTTTCCATGGTACAAAATAATGTGAGTCATTAGATTTTTCTTTGTCGTTTATTTGCTTAATTAACCACTTTTTTTCACATCATTTATTTCATAAGAAGGAACAAAATAGAATGCCATGAAATTACAAGTAACAATTTCGAATGTGGAAGTAACTAATTCTATTGCAGTACACTCATCATTTCTTGCATAAGTTAGCCATCAGTATTAAGTTCAAATTAAGTTAAGAACTATAACCTAACCCTCAAGATTGCTGAAGAAAGTTTAGTAATAGTCACTTCGTTACTTATTATTAAATGTTAATAAACCAGTTATACTTAAAATTACACTCAACTTTTCTATTTAGCATTGCATTCACATAAAATCAACTTTATATGACTTCACTAAGAAAATATAATTGAATTTCAACTTTCTGCCTATTGCTATACGGATTCAACAAGATCTTGTCAAAACCGTTGAAGAGAGAACCCTTTCTAATCGTTTGATCAGACCAGTTAATACTACCATAGATGAGCTTTTTTTCACTTTCTTGATCTGCGCAGACCTCAAGAATTGTCCATAGCACATGACTTTCTTTCCATAGACACGCACTTGGACGCTTGCATGAATTATGTGTACATTTCAAGTAATTCATACGTTGAACGCACAAAAATCGTACGCATCAGCATTCTTGAAACGCCCAACTAGATTAAAATAATAATAGTAAATCTATTCAAGAGAAAAGAATACTCTTCACCATGTAAGCTGCCTGAGTCTAAAAACTCCCGTCGACTTCTCTTTAGCCATGCATATTAAATTGTGAACTTTTATCACAAATATATAACACATCAAATTTAATGCCCTTTTCCATTAATGTTTTTGCTTCTCAATGCGCTTTTTTTGTTTATATTTCTAGCGCAAATGTTGCTTAGGAGTCCTTTCAGTTATCTAATGTGAAGAGGAACATGAAAAATTTTACAGTGTACTCCTCGCTCCGAAAGTTTGACCAGGGTTTTTTGATCATCACAAAATATTAAGCTCTCCATCTTATCTTGTTTTCTGAGCAAATAACTTTTGTACATCATCTAATAAATCAAACCATTAGGTTTTTATTATTTCTTTTGTGCTCTATGCTTAGTGATACTTTTTGTAATGAAATCAATAGGGATATAACGATGATAATAACCGGTACTACGATTACCGATCTACACCGATCACCGACGTCTCACCGCCATTCACCATGAAAGAGAATTTACTCTTATAATTTCTCATTTTGATTTTTGTACTAAGGGAAAGTATTTTTCGACAACGTTTGACCAAAGGTAATCAGGCACGACGAATCTGAATTTGGAATCAGTTTCTTAAAATTGTATACTTTTTTTTTCGCTCACTTCTTCAAGAAGTTTTTCGAAGATTGAAAAATTCAATACGAAATTTTTAGAAACTGATTTCGGATTTGGATTTTCCGACACCGATTACCTTCAGCCAAACTTTATAGAAAATCAATATTTTCCCGAAAACATTTCCTCGCTAAAAAAATTCAAATTAAGAAATTGTAAGAGTAAATTTTCTTCCATAGTGAGTGCCAGTAAAAAACCGGTTATTGGTTTTAATCGGTGAAACGGCGACGACGTACCAGTCAATAATCGTCACTGTTGCTTCCCTAGAAATTAATTATGGTATCTATATTATTTATTCGTGCTTCTTATACACTTTTGGCATTGAGACAGTTGAGGACTATCGGCATCAACGTCGAAAAAACGACTAAAACATCAGAATAGAAAAGATATATAACATCCAAGCATATTACACGTGCATGGGCAAGAACTGAAGCATTCGAGTAAGAAGTTTAAGCGATGCAATAAGAAATTCAAGCTCTTGGGCTTAAAACGAGATCTCAAGATTTGTCCATAGCGCATGACATTCTTGCTCCAGAAGCTCAAGTATCTCATGCGCATACCACAAGATGTTCGCCTAGGGTATCTCTTCTCCACTGTTGTCAGCAGAAAGAATTGTGCTATTCGAAATGATCAAACATTTAACTGAAGTTCTCTCACAAATTGATGAGAAAATTCTATGCGAAGTCCTTATCAGACTGCAGAAAAAATCTAAATTAAACAACGTTTGCTTAGTGCTAATATTTAAACTTAAACTGAACATTCAGTATTAAATGGGTCGTTAGCACTTAATATAAAAGAAAAACAGTGTTACATACTGTTGTTGTTTTTTTCATTCAATTAAAATGTTGAGTAAACGGTGTAGCCGTGGGCATGTAGGTTTTGTATGTTTAATTCATCGAAACCTTCTGCCCGTGTTCTGATACATAGTCACATATCAAATTCACATCCACACATTCGCATTCGATAAAAATTCCCAAACGAATTCACATTAGTTAATAATTGTTGTGAAACATTTCTGCCTTTTTGTTTCCTTTAGAAGAATAAAGCAAATCAGGCTACATTTATTCTGATACTAGCCATCATTTTTCCAAAGCACGATGTCAGTTTTTAGTAAATTCGTATACCGATTCTATCTCTCTATCCTGCTATGAATCATTCTTTTATATGTTCTCATGAAAATTACTAAAATCCATGTTTCAAATACACCATCGACATAAAAGCATATCTAAAAAAGAATAATTTCATATTCTGATCAGAGCTACTGACAGGCTAATTTTGTTTCGGCCTGGTCTGACCGCAGGCTGTTGGGAGTACATAATAGAAAAAGTTGCCAAATAATGAATCACACATTTTTCTTGTTCCATCACCGTAGTCTCGATCATATGTTTTGTCCTTCTGAATTTAGTTGATAAAAGTAAAAACTTCTTCAATAAATAGAACATCAAAACATACAGAACTGGGCGACAAATAAAATCTTCTCTGAACAAATAATTATGCTTTCAAATGAGTTCTAACTCCATCAGTACTGTTTCATAACATTGAAAATGTGCATCATCAGCAAGAAACCATACAAACTGAAAAACAGAAAATATTATTACTGTCCACATTCGTTGACCTTAGCTCATCAGTGGTCTTTTTATCGATCTGTCGGAAGTGATATGCGTATTGTAACTGTTAAGACGGCGAGTGTTCGTTCGAATTCATGTGAAAGCCGACTGTTTTGTGAGCGTTATATTCATGTTTTTGAACTATAGTTCAGTTTTTGATTATTTTATCATCCTTTATTTGCATTCTACATTCGCGACTACAACTATCTTATGTATGATCTTTTACAATGTTTCATGTACTCGCTCTCTTCTGTTAATTCTGTATGATTTATTTTCTCTTCTTTTATCCTTTCACCGAACAACAATGAGACCCAGCATAACAAATCATATAACAAAAAAAAAAAGAAAACATTGTTACTGTTAGTCAAAAATAGTTGCTTATTATATTCGTCTACTGAATCATATCGAGTTGAATTGCATAAAATAATCAGTTCTATCTTTGTTATGTATTTATTTTCTGTGTCTATTAAGGAATCCTCTAGCTCAATTATAAGCGCATATGAAACTACACACAAAATGAAATTAATTAAAAAGAATCATCATCTAGCATCAAGAGTAGATGTAGTCTTTTGACTTCACTTAAACTCCCATAGCTGAGTGCCACTATGAACTCTTGCAATTAATGCTAAACTAGAATCGGTGAAAAAAGCTGTTATTATTAATATGTATCACTTTCATTCAAAATAGGATACACTGAATCAATAAGTTCACGATTCGGTTTGTTGAAAGACTCGCTTAAAGTGGTAGAAATCGAGACATTCACCAGGTGCTCGCTTTAGCATTAAAACATTTCGTTTTAAAATTTATTTTCAAAGTTAAAAAGTGAAATTTTAACTTTGACAAATTCACAAAATTCTTTTAAGCCTATAATACTAATTCTAATCAGAATCAATCAATAAATAAAAAATTTGAGTACATGCCATCCATCAAAAGGTATTTCCTCAATGATGGAAATAATTACATGCAAACTAAAATATAAACATATAAAATGATTGAAAATTCGAAGCGCTTTCGGATCATATGATTATATTTTTTCATATTTCTGTTTATAGTGACAATAACATTTAGAATAATGACTGTTAGTATTTTTCTGGGAATATGAATATGAGACAATGCATCATTTGAAATCATAATGTATTTGGAAATTTTCGGATGTTTTTATACGAAAGCAGAGGAGCTTCATCTGCTCAAATGGAAATGAAAATGAAAGAACTTGTCAAAGACTTCATCCTTTTTTCCTGGACAAAGAATAAAATCGATTTAAGAAAGCAATGGCTGACTTTTCATGAATTCATGCACGCATAACCCTATTTTCGTCACATAGTTCATTATAGGATTAAACAAGTAAACGTGATATTTGGTGATTCATCACATATTCTCAATCATTTTATTTGCGTCTCAAAACAATGATATTGTCATTGAAGTTTTTGTCAGTCTCGACTGAGAAAAAGTTTTATCCCACAGAAGTAAGTTTCCATTTATTGAAAACATCATTATTCTTCATAGAAAAATCTGCATATTAACTTTAAATATTGATATTTTTATTGAATTCTGCCTTCTACCTACATAAATCGATTTATTGCAAAAAATTTATTTCCCTCTGGAAACAAATCTATAACATATTCGAGATGATCGAATCTCATCAAGATTTTCATAATTATCAAGCCATAAGCATATAAATGTTCCTATATTTTCGTTAAACATAGATTGAGTCATATTTAATCCAGTGCAATGAAACACGATTCAAATGAGGAAGAAAAAATATTGACTAAATCCTTTAATTATTTTCTAAAAATATTCTTATACGTTCATTTTAGATCGGAATATTCTAAGATATTCTCTTAATATAATACATAAATCTCGTGATTTTCTTCTAAGAAGAATGGAAATATCGACTGATTCAAGTTTATGCTTAACCTGTAATAAACATTCAGCTAAATATTATTGTACTGGATGCAAAAAATACTTTTGTCCGAAGGATTTCAGACAACATGAACAGCAACTAGCGATCAAATTCGACGATGAAATAATTAGATCACATGATGAACTTCTTGATCAAATACATAAATTAGACGAATCAAATCATTTTTCATTGGATATATTCGGTCGAATTGAACAATGGAAGAAAACAACAATTAGCAAAGTCGAAAAAGCAGCAGAAAAAGCTCAGCACGAACTCAGCAAACTAATTGATGAACAAAAAATAGCAATTACAAAACAACTTGAACCAATCACACAAGAAATTCGTTCTCGTCGAGAAGAAGAGAATTTTGTTGAAAATGATATTGATCGACTTAGACGCAAAATTAATGCACTTGATCAAACACTGAAACAATTTGTGCGAAATGATTTAACTAAAAGCATTATTATTAATAATGATCAAATGAATTGGAATCGACTCATCTACATTCGAGGAATGAAAGGCGAAAAACAGAACTGTGAGTATGTTTAATTAAAGATACAGGAAAATGAGAAATTCCCCCAGGGATCCACGAAATACTGTTAGTCATTCAATCCTCCTTTTTCGTTTCATTACCTGATGTAAATTAATTCACTCATAGATTAGAGTTGAACTCACGCCCCATCAGACAGCACGGTAGCCACAGGGATGAAACTTGTATAGCAATGCAAAATTTTTGGAGAAGATTTGTGTTGAGATCAGTATTTTTGTTAGTTCTTAGAAATCTGTTTATTCTTGCACTTTTCCTTGTTTTGTATTAAGTTTGCCCACAGTTAGTCTCTAGTTAACAAAGTGTCAAAGAGAAAACCATAAGATAGTATTCGAAACTAACGTTTTTTCATAGCATGACATACAACAATCATTTGAACACGACTGCTTTCATTTAAGGAATGAGTTTTACTATAGATGACTTGTATTAAGGAAACTTTTGAATTGTATGCGAAAGTTTATATTTGTCTCTACTGAAAATTGATATGAAGAATGATCTCAAATTAATTTTCATATTGCATAAATGAGAAAAGTTTTCCATTCACATCAAGATTATCGAGACTTCAGCAATTTGAATTCTGTAACGGATTCTATTAAAGTAAAAGTTTTTTTTTCTTCGTTGTCCATAAAAATTTCACTTTTGACAACTAGAAAAACAGAAACTTTATTCATTTGAAATCAATAATTGAAAATTATAATTATTTCAACTAAATTAAGATCTGAATAAAAAAAACTTATCGTTAATCGTAGGAGATAGAGATTAAGTACTTTCAAAAGTTTAATGTATCTTAAAACAAGAATCATTCGAGAAGACTTTTATTCAACATGTGTTTTTTTGAATTTGTATTCGTCTGAAAGATTTTTAAAAATGAATGACAGAATGATGAACGAATAAACAATAAATTCGAAGTTTCTATGAGCATCAACCATTTGATACATCACAATTGCTTATTCAAGACGAGAAGTATTTGCATATGGAATAATACAATTATTCGAAAATAGTAACACATTTTTTTTAAAAAACTTAAAATCGATTTTAAGTGAAACAAAAAGACGAAATCCTTTTTCTTGTATTTTCTTTACTGTCCATTTGAACCGATCGATGAACTATATACTAAGCAGATATGTCGCTCTTCAATGTTTATAGTATAGATACAAAAACAGATCGATCTTTTCTAAGATTTTAATAGAAGATAGACTATAGTTGAATTTCAAATTAGAATCTATAAAGAAAATTCAATAATTAAAAAAAAGAGTATTCACAATGATTATTTCTTAATTGAATGTTTGCAAACGATCGACGAACATATTTCAGTAGAACTTCGTCGTACATGTCATATAGAAAGACAAATCGAATCCTTCACATCTGACATGTATGATTTTTTTAAAAATTGAGTTGAGAAAATGTTGAAAAATCTTGATTCAATCTTGTTAAGTGTATTCTCGAAGGACTTTAAAATTAATTGCAATGAATCATGTCTATAGTATATGATAATGTTTAATAAGTGAAATATGACAATCATTCTTTTTCTGAATTCAAATCGAATGTGAAAACAAGTTTCTTGACAAGTTCTTTGAAGAACTCAAAGATATTCTAAAAATTTGAACTCGATCAGATTTCATCAATTCTTTCTTATATTGTTCTTCGAAAAATATGTCCTATTTCATCGTTAAAATCATATTCAAAGTTCTTAGTTTGGATTTCATTATTTTTCAAAGAGATGTTGATATTTACCTGATTGTATTTCTATGAAAAATACTTAAAGCAAAATGTCTGATTGGATGAGTTTCAAAACAAGATTTTTTTTTTAGAGAGTTTTTACAGTTCTCGATCTATTTCAATCGAAAGTTAGTAATGATTTCCATTATCTACAACTATTTTCAACAAATGTCTTCTCGAAAGAGGAATTCTGTCAAATTTTCGTCAGTGATTTGAATGTTTAATCATAACATGTTGTTATTATCTAATATCGAGTTTCATTGATGTATATCGATCTAATATTCGTCAACAAAATTAAGCTTTTTGTTTCAGCACCATTAGTACGTACTGCAAATCTGAATTCGATTCTGTCATGGATACATAATAGTGTAACAGTGGCTGGAGGTAATGGCGAAGGCAACGCAATGAATCAACTAAAAACCCCATGGGGTTTGTGTGTTGATGATGAACAAACTGTCTACATTGCAGACTGCTCGAATCATCGCATCATAGAATGGAAATATGGTGCCACAGCTGGTGAAGTTATGGCCGGTGGAAACGAACAAGGAAACCGTCCTAAGCAGTTAAATAGTCCGAGAGATGTGAAGATAGACAAGGAAAGAAATAGTTTCATTATTTGTGATTATAATAATGAAAGAATAATTCGGTGGTCTCGTCAAAATGGTGCAAACGACGAAACAATTATCTCGAATGTTCGATGTCATGGTGTGACAATGGACGATCGTGGATTTCTGTATGTCGTTGATGAGGATGAGCATGAAGTCAGACGATATCGAATAGGAGAAAATCAAGGAACAGTGGTTGCGGGTGGAAACGGACAAGGCAATGATCTCAATCAATTGTTCAATCCGACATATGTATTCGTTGATCAAGATCATTCAGTTTTCGTATCGGATACAAATAATCATCGAGTAATGAAATGGAGAGAGGGTGCAAAACAAGGCATTGTTGTGGCTGGTGGTCAAGGTCAAGGAAGTAATCTTACACAACTATCATATCCATATGGAATCGTCGTGGATCAATTAGGTACTGTCTATGTGGCTGATTGTTTGAATAATCGAATCATGCGTTGGTTCGAAGGAGGCATACATGGAAGTATTTTCGTTGGTGAAAATGTTGCAGGAACTCAACAGAAAGAACTTTATGGCCCAGTCGGTTTGTCACTTGATCGAGAGGGCAATCTTTACGTGAGTGAGAACAGAAGTCATCGAGTGCGAAAATTCAACATAAAACGAATTTAATGATTTTAAAAAATTGATATTTTTTTATACATTCTCACAATAATCTTGAACAAAACATTGAACAATACGATTGCTTTGAAAATGTTTTGTCTTCGATCTATTAGCAGGTCATCCTGAATAGACAGAAGAAAAGTCCTTTTTTTTATCATCTTCCAATAATAATTTCTGTTTCGTATATTCTTTTGTGTGTAAAACTAAGATTTATGACTGACTAGCTTTGACAGGAAAAGTCATTTATTGTGACTGTTTTTCGAGAAAAAAAAGTGTTAACAAAAGTCAATGTCTAATTCAAGAAAAAGCTTCAAGCCCATTTGCATTCAAATGTTTTAACACCATACAACCACTTTCTGATATCCGTGTGTTTAGGCTAGCGCACCTTCATGTATGTGACAAATAATGTATATGTGTAAAAACTGACGTCTTACTTCTATAGTAGATGCGGGTTTTTTCTCCTAAAACATCATGTTATTAGTACAACTTGGCTGTTGGTACAAAAAATTCAAAACACGACAGAAGAGCAAGAAAAGAGAACAAAAGCATCGAAAAAGTAAAAGAGTTGGCAGCCTTCTTCATGAAACGCAGACATGTGATCTAAATATTGTGTTTAGCTTTGCATGCAAGGTTCTAGCAGCAGTAATGAGAGTTGTGACACCTCAAAGTTTGACTTCCTAGATGTTTTGTTTTAATAAAAAAATATAATCGAAAAAACTGTTATAGTCAATGTGATCCACTTGTACACTTTGAAGACAAATGTAGTCATCAATGAGAGAAACAAGTGTCACTGAGCTGACAATAATGTGCAAATGTTGCTAAGAATCAGAAATAATGGAGGTCGTGTTTGTTGACATACAAATTTCTATATGGGTCTCATTTGCAAGCAAAAACTTCTAAGTATTGAAATGGATAAATTTTTATTAGGAATAATTTGCTCTTCGATTAAAATCAAATACATTGCGTTTCACAAAGTTGTTGCACTAGCATGTCGATATTGTTATCAACTCAATTGGATTTTTCACTGCAATCTATATTTGTTCTAAGTATTTTGCTTTTATGTTTGTATCAATAGCAGGTGAGAAACACAGGTGAGTAATTGTTAAAACAGCAAAATTACACAACTTTGGCGAAGAAAAGGCAAATAAATTGTTATCAGTAAGACACGTGGAAAACTAACAGGTAATTATCACAGTTAGAGACCTGTGAAGTCGCTTTTTTTTACTTTGATGCCGACTCCGGCGGAGTCGAAGTTGGAATCGGGTTTCGGAGTCTAGTGCAGGTCTCTAGTCACAGTCGTACACAACAGAAGAAAAAGAAAAATGATTCAGTTCACGTACAGTTGAAATTCGACGTGATCAGTAAAATAGAACAATAATGGATATAATTACTTCCGAACGAATTATTATTTCAAAGATTTGGGTATGTAATAAGTACCGATGGTATGGATACAATTGAAGGCAAGACTACCATCCACATCCAACTCCAACTCCATCCTATATATTTATCGGTGTTATTACGGTTAAAGAAATATCTGTATATAATTGAACCACTTTGATGATCTTATGAATTCAGGAATGAATTATAATGAATGCTTCCCCTCCAAAATAATCGTTATTATGAAGAGCTTTAGTATACAAAAATATAGATCATAGATTTTATTAGTTCAATATCTAAGATGGAATTATGTTTCACTGATGAATACGTAGAAATCAAAAGTTAAGCTGTGTGAGATCGAAAAGTGTTTATGATTCTAACCCGTACGAAGTTATTGCCAATTTACCAATTTATAGGATTTGGTATTATGATTTGAAGATAGTTTTATCCTATACATATAGATTGATCTTGGTTTTATTGTAAGAAATTGAAAACATGAAGATAATCGACAAGAACCCGAATAGCACTAATAGTCTCTTAGTTTATTGTTTTTCATCGTTTATTTTCCAGGGAAAAATAACTGAAATCGAGTGAAATGAGTGGACGGGGACGTAAACTGACAATATTCTATTGTTCTAGACTAAGATAAAAAGCATGGCTAACTTGTATAACAACAATGAAGAAATTGATGGTCTCTCGTATGACAACACACATAATATCTCCTGTGATGGATGTCAATCGTCGCAAATCTATAGCGATCGATACAAGTGTCTACAATGTAACGACTATAATCTGTGTGGTAATTGTTTTGAAGAGCGGCGTCAAAGGAAAGGACACTTGAGCGGTCATGCCATGGTTCATTTTAAGCTGCCTAATGAATTATTCGGGAAACCAATACCTCATTCAAGTCAAATCACATTAAAGAAAATCAATGAATTATTTATTGGCAAACGACATGGAATTGCATGCGATGGTTGCAAGCACTCAATTGTTGGTGTTAGATTCAAATGTGATACTTGTCACAATTATAACCTTTGTTCGAAATGCATGGAACAACGCGTAACAAGCAAAAATCACTGTTAGCTCTGTAATGGGGGATGATCTTACTGAGCTTAACTTCTCTGTATATATATATGATATAGCTTACATATATAAATCGATATGAAGCTGTTGGATAATATATAAATATAAATATATATATATTTGACCAAAACAAGAAAATATAATAATGTCAAAGATGATGACAATCAACAGAAAAAAGATGA